TCGTCACCAACAACATGGATCAACTCGTGACCGTCCCAGATCCGGCAGACCTCGTGTGACCACGCCCGCACAAGATCGCTACATCCGGTTACGTCACCTTCGGGATAGGAACACCACTGCGACGTCTACTGCCTCAACCATACCAGGGCGCAACCGTCTACGAGATGCAGGAAACCGACCTCGACGTCCGGTCAGAGGCGTCATCCTCATCCAGCAACATCGTCAAGCATGGCTGCAGTGGTCTCGGGCACATCGGGTATGGCCTCATCTACGATGGAGGCAAGTTTGGTTCAGCGATGACTCACGTTTTATGCTTCGTAGGCAGGATGGAAGGACCCGTGTTTATCGTCGGCGTGGTGAAACTGTGTGCAGGAAGTTGACAGATTTGGTGGTGGTATTGTCATGACGTGGGCTGCCATCGCCTACAATGCCAGAACAGACCTTGTGCACATTCGAGGGAATCTTACGGCTCAACGATACGTCGACGAGATTCTTAGGCCCCATGTGCAACCCATTGGTGAATGTCAACGACGTTTTTCAGCAGGACAACGCCCGTCCTCACACAGCCCGACTCACCACTGCCTTCTTGAGAAACCACAACATCAACGTTCTTCCTTGGCCCTCCAGATCACCAGATTTAAACCCCGTTGAGCATCTTTGGGACGAGTTGGACCGACATCTGCGACGGCGACAGCCTCAACCGTAGACACTACCTCAGCTTGCAGCAGCTTTGCACAGCAATTCCACAGAATGTGTTTCGTCATCTCATCGCTTCCATGGGCAGGAGATGCCAAGCAGTTATAGATGCTCACGGGGGGCATACTCGTTATTGACGTTGAGTGACGTTAAACTTCACCTAGTGACCGTGGACTTCACCTTTGCAGACTTTGGATGTTCTTCAGTGCAAGTGCAAGTTTCACAAATGTCATACAGAACTACCCAGAATAAACTTGTTCACAGTTTGTCTCAAAATATTGCCTTTTGCGTTTCTTGTTTTGAAGAGTTTATAAAGTTCTTACCGCATAATACATACCTCAGAAATAAACGCCTGAAGGCACTTGACTTGTAGAAAGTCGTTTCTAATTCAAAGTGGGGAGGGGACCAAACTACCCTCCTACACTTATACATATCTCTCATCTGCTCGAAACTTGATCACGGCTCCATCGTAGATCAAGCCGTACAGTTGGGGCCTTTAACAGCAACGTCATAACCAACGTCATATAAAATTATCTTTACAGTATATCACAAAACTATATTGTAACGAGTCTAACCCTGTATTTAACTACTGTGTTTTTAATCCTTTCCTTTCCCTTTAAACCTTTCCTTTCTGCTGCTGGCATTAAGCTAGAAAATATATCTCCTTCCCGCCTTCTTTCTTCTCTTATTGCCGATGTGACGTTAAATTTTAACTCACTCACTCACTCACTCTTTCTTCTCCTCCTTGGCTTTCGTGAAGCCGCAAGTTGACTTAACACTGACAAAATTTTGAAAAATCAGAAACTAATGAATTACAATGTAAACAAGAATTTAATCAACTAAAAAGTAAATATAAATAAATACAAATCCTTATTTACAGATGGGTCCAATGGTGGTGGCGCAGTGGCTTGTGCCACTGTCTTTGGATCTAGAACAATATCTTTTATGTCACCCGCTAAATTGTCACAGTAGAAGCAGCCGCCATATTAACAGCTCTTAAACACACACAAACACACACACACACACCTATATATACACACCCCAAACAACAACAATTTAAAATATTTTCTGACTTCCTCTCTTGCCTTCACGCTATTATAAACTTATCCTATAAACATCGACTTTTAATCGAAATAGTTGAATTGTATAATGATCTTGCTCCTGGCCAATACGACATCGCCCTCTGTTAGTTACCAAGCCACGTTGGAATTTCTGGAAATACAATGGCCGATTTTGCTGCAAGGGCAGCACTCAACAAAACTGTGACACCACTTCTTATCCCATATTCCCATTACAAAAGCGTGATTTTGGTCTTGCATTTGTGCAGAAGAAGTGGGACATCCAAGTAGGTATCAATGAATTACGTGTCGCATTGTCCATACAAGATACACTCATGAATATTTTATTCAGGGTGAAGATTCCCCGGTTTGTATCCCTTGTGATGAGAGAATCACAGCCAAACATGTCCTGCTTGACTGTATTGATTTTTCCATCACAAGGGATAAATAGTTCAGTGTCAAAACAATTAACGATCTTTTTTACAATATTAATCATCATTTGATAATTTAGTTTTTTAAAAGAAATAGAGTTGTTAGAAATTTTTTGAATAATCTGTTTTGTATACAGATTAATTGAATTTTAAAATGGGTAGATTATATTAGCAACTTAGTTTGTTAGTGGCTGTATCCCTAAAGCACTGTAAAATCATTGTCCTTCTGGGAGGATACGTAAGTCCCAAAACATTCAAAGTATATTTAATCTTACCATGTTTTTATTCGTAGAATATATATACTCGGCGTCATTAATGAAGGGTCAAGCTATTGGTAGCACCAAGTTGAAAAATCTTCGTTTTTGTTTGAAATATATATAGCTGAATGTTTCACAAACTTTCTTAACAGTATTGAAAATCACATCTGGCCTTTGAAATGTCATTATTATGTTCTTTAACGTCCGATACATTCTGTTATAAATGGAACACTTTTTCTTCAAATTGTCAATATGGAAATCCACTTGCCACTTAAATGATTTGCACGTGCGAGTCGCTCTATCCCTGAAAAGTGGATCACATGCACATGCATTGATGCTTTTTAACTGTCGTTCACTGTTCAGGTACCTATTTGAATCGCAGCTTAAAATGAGACGTTTTTTTACACTTGCTCAAAAAGGTCAGACTATAGGCCTTTTGAAATCTCGTCAAACTCAGCGGCAGGTTGCTGTCCGCTTGAATGTGCTATTGGTAGACTATGTCAGAGATTTTAAGCCAATGGGTTCGAGAAATATGCACGTCGACCAGGTCGCAACAGTCCGAGATGTTAGGAACATGATTAACACTGCGTTACATAACAGATTCCTTAACGCAGCAGATCTTCAATGTAAACAATGTAAGAATATCCAGGAGCACCGTTCGTCGTTGTTTAAGAGCAGGACTCCGCTGTAGGCGAACTGCAGTTTGTCCACCACTAACATCACGTCACAGGCAGGCGCGTTTGAGTATACATCATGGCCGCTGGAATCAACCTCAATGGTCTCGTGTACTCTTCACAGACGAAAGCAGATTCAATTTGTCCTTCCATGATAGTCGGCAGAGGATTTATCGTCGTAATGGAGAGCGAATCACAGATGCAACTGTGGCCACGCATAACCGATTTGTCTATTCCAGACAGCGTTATCGGAGCGAGTTTCTGGCTCCTATAGCAGTACCATTCCTGCAAGCTACGCATGGCTTTTATGTTCGACCCTCTTAACTACAAGACGACAACGTTAAGCCTCATAGGGCCAGGATTGTCACGGAATTCCCTAGGCAGCAGAGCTCAACCCAGTATGCCTTGGATGAACTCGGCTACGTGTGTACACAATACCAGTGGATCTCTCAGGACTCAGCAGAACTCTAGTAGAGGAATGGAATGCGATTCCGCAAGCTTTCTTTATGAACTTGATAAGGAGCATGAGGTCAAGGTGCACCTGTGTCTTTGACGCGCGAGGAGGGTACACAAGATATTGAAGGACCGAGTGCTTCATGTTTGTTATTTTCATGTTTGGGGCTGTGAGATAGCCTAGTGGTTAAAGCGTTCGCTCGTCACGCCGAAGATCCGGGTTCGATTCCCCACATGGGTACAATGTGTGAAGCCAATTTCTGGTGTCTCCCGCCGTGATATTGCTGGAATATTGCTAAAAGCGGCGTAAAACTAAACTCACTCACTCATTTTCATTTTGGGGGGTTGGTCTATACAACTGATGTTTGCTTGTGCTGTTTGAACTTTTTGTCTGTATGTCACGATGTGTCACGTTTGTTAACACATTAAACATTACAGTGACACTTTTAGTTCTATCATTTCTGACCCGTGAAGAATATTGATCTTCAGTAACCCATGCTTGTCGTAAGACGTGACTAACGGGATCGGGTGGGCAGGCTCACAGACTTGGATGACACATGTCATCGGTTCCCAATTGCGCAGATCGATGCTCATACTGATCATCACTGGATTGTCTGGTCCAGACTCGATTATTGACAGATCGCCGCCATATAGCTGGAATATTGCTGAGTGCGGCGTAAAACTAAACTCACCCACTCACTCTATTATTTCTGAGAAACCTTTTTTTACATGTGCTATACATCATTTGCCCTTTATTAATGACGCCTAGTATTTTAATGCTTGGCTGATGTTTTCCATGCAAGTAAGATAGATACTTGAAGTCCCCATGGTCTCTAGCATGGTGATTTACCTTCATTTGTTGGCGATCTATAGCCCATTTGTGTTTTGCATTGGGGCATTGTTTTATGGTAATATGCCAGTTTTTCGTCTTAATATGTGATAGGCTAGTTATTTTATTGTCCATCGATGACAGACTTCTTAATCATATCATATCCAGTATGTATACCAAACGTTATGGCTGAAATATTGCCCTTGTGACGTAAAGCTTTAACTCACTCACTCATTCACTCACTCACTTATATTTGTACTAACATAAACGTAGTCGTTAAGAACTGTCTCAAATATGTCAATATGAAAATTACCTTTGCTGAGATCGATATGATCAGTTCGCGCTGTCAGATTGGCTGTACTATATGTTTTCAACATTGCAGCCGACACAACACAAAATGTAAACATTTACAAATAAGACCCTCTCATATGTAACTGACCTTCGACGCAATAAAAAATGTCTTGAGAAATAAGTTCTTATTCTTGTCTCAGCAGGTGTGCGCCACGCCTGTTATATTTCCACTGGGGTACTGAAGCAGCCTGCATTGTGGCCTACTGGAAAGTTGATGGATTGGGGTTCTGCTGAAACAAAAGTGGCAGTATCTACATCTCTGTCTCGTCCGTGCTCTTCCTGGTGTCAACGTATGCATTGCTGACGTGGGGACAACCTCTGGAACAGTATAGGTGCTGGCTGTGGTCGGCGAAAGACAAAGTGTTATTGTTTTTACCACAAAACATTCTGATGACCTCGTTGCGGAATTTCTGTCCTGTTGCGCAATACAGGAAGAAGTTGATGGAGTGATTAAGATACATGAGCAGCTGTGATATCGTGCGGACCAGACGGAATTTGGACATGACTGCGTTATCGTGCCCATTGGTATTCCAAAAGTCTGAGGCAATACTGCTGATGTTCATTGGGAGTGTGGTGAGAAGGAAGGTGAAGGATACAGTCAGGAGCATGATTGTCAAGCGTAGGTTGTTGTCTCCCTTGCTTCTGTTCCTGAGTTTCAGACAACCGTTTTGTAAACTTTCCCTCCCACTGGTCGCACGTGCAACTTTGCAGATGATGAGGATATTAAATATGCTGATAATGATGAAAGGAAGGAAACAGTATATGAGGGCGTCAACCCACGGCCAAACCACTGATACAAGAAACTGATGACCAGCACTTGCGTCACATTGCGGAAGAAGATTGTCCCGAATATCTGTTTCGTTTAAGCCAACGGTCCATGCAAAATGAATGTTAATGACAAGGAAAATGGCAACAAGTCCACTTATGGTTTTTTTAGCCCGAGCTACATTACAGAATCTTTGGGCTTTCAAAGGACAGCAAACAACAATGTATCTCTCTATGGTTACGGCGACAATGATCCAGACAGACGTGTTACTGGAAATATATCCTAGGATAATTGTAGCCTTGCACAACCAGTTAGCCTGGTCTCTGATGTCATAACCTGTGAGTTCCCCGAGCCACTGCCGCATTAATCCGATCAATAACACCATAGAATCGGCTACTGACAAAGCAGCTAGGAATATGTAGGTGGACAAGCGCGTCATGGCTTTATGACGCATGATCAGGAATGAGAATATGTTGCCAAAGGTGCCAAGTATTAAAAGAATTGGCGGTATGTATAACAATAGAATTTTGTGAACACGGTACTCTGGATACTGTAGAGCCAATTGGTCTTCTCCTATTCCGTGAACTAAATAATTCAGATCTTCCTCATTCGTGACACCCATGAGGTCGAATAAATGTATCTTCTCCTTTTGAGATAGATGCTGAATAGAGGCCAGCAGAGTCTCCACGGATATGTTCAGTTTAGCGTCCATCTCTGATCTTGCAGTGTTCATTCTGGAAGACAAAGAAATAACATGTAGTCTCTATCAAACACGTTCAAAAGGTGCCTTTACCTTATATCTATTGTTCCCAACATAGAATTGTACATAATGACATCTGTAGGCTATGAATGGGAACACGTTGCAAGCGCAGTTCAACATAATCTCCGAATGGTATACTATTCACAACTTTTTAACGAACCTCACAAGCCCTTGACATTGAGACTGGGGAAAATCGTGTGATCTTTAACTTGATTTGAGTAGTTTGGAAGGATTGGTCAATTCGTCTGTGAACGCTCCATTTACGCTTTATTTCGTGATCGGATGCATTATATTTCCGCTTAGACAGCAATATAAAGCTAGTCGAAAACTGATGAGTTATGTGTTTGACATGTTATTGCCACGATGGCTATTTCGAATATATCCCCGTATGCCACTAAACTGTACACGCCAGAACATCATGGCATATAAATAACACGAGCAAAAGCAAGTTTAAGATTTGAAACTGAAAATATTACAATTCTGAAACAGAAGTTAACTATGTAACGTCATATATGAAACTAGTCCATAGTAATAGTTATTTGACAGCTTCTTCCTCTGCTTCTTAGCATCATATGACCTGGCTAACCACTGCTTTACAGGACCATGCAGTGTCTGTATGACATCAGGGTCTTTGCATCATATGACCTGGCTAACCACTGCTTTACAGGACCATGCAGTGTCTGTATGACACCAGGGTCTTTGTATCATATGACCTGGCTAACCACTGCTTTACAGGACCATGCAGTGTCTGCATGACATCAAGGTCTTTGCATCATATGACCTGGCTAACCACTGCTTTACAGGACCATGCAGTGTATGTATGACATCAGGGTCTTTGTATCATATGACCTGGCTAACCACTGCTTTACAGGACCATGCAGTGTCTGTATGACATCAGGGGCTTTGCATCATATGACCTGGCTAACCACTGCTTTACAGGACCATGCAGTGTCTGTATGACATCAGGGTCTTTGCATCATATGACCTGGCTAACTACTGCCTCCCCTCTCTCTCTCTCTCTCTCTCTCTCTCTCTCTTTCTCTCTCTCTCTCTCTCTCTCTCTCTCTCTCTCTCTCTCTCTCGGATAATACAATTCAATCTACCTGGTACGTTCACAGATGTACCGTCTTTTTCAAATAATTTATAGCCAATTGCAAGTTTTTAAATGTCAGGCAATTTCTATTCCGCGCGGTTTCTACCCTGTCTCATCATTATAATCAGGATCAGAATGTCTTAAAAGTTAGATATATGTGTTTATAAAAGGTTTTAAACTATTCAATTAATGAATTTTTGCATGATTTTAAAGTTTCTTATCGTGGTGAAAACATGTATACCAATGACTGGTAACTACAGTAAGGTGTAAATAATGGTGTTTAGAAATTGGTTTTAAATTGGTTCCCGAATTATTTCAGGTTGTTTATGACGGGTCAGAATGTAAACATTCGAAATCATCTAGGGCGTCACAGATCTACCTATCGCTTAATGCATTGCGTAATGTATGCGTGAAGATCTGGGTTAGAATTGGTCGTCGTGAAAAGAGACTGATATACAGTTCTGAGCCAAATGATGATTTAAACAAAATATAGGCTGCTGCTATCAAGGGCTGCGGCTATCAAGGGCTGCATGCAATTTTGAGCTTAACATACTTTAAGCCTGTAAACAAACAGCGACATAAACTTTGTAACACGAACTACACATTGTTCCTCCCAAAGATAGCCGAATCCATACATGTAGAGAATATGTTTGATTGTAGAGGCCCAGTTAGTTTTCCTCTTTGTTAAACCAACAACTAATAACTTATAACATTTTTTTCAGAAATCTCGTATCAGGCATATTGCATATTTTACACCAATAAGCAACGACCCTTTTATAAGTAAAAATATACATTGGATAGCGTCCACATTCTCTTCTGACAACATGATTCGACGTTGAGGATTTAATCCCAAGAAATCGGAGGTCGGAAATTGGAAATTTCAACTTCTATGCAAACATTCCGAACCATAGTAAAAACTTTCAACTTAGATCAAATGGCAATGAAGTTATAATTATCTAAGTCCCATATTTCCTTTTAGAACCACAGATCAGAACAGGACTAATTTGTACCCAGTGATAAATCTTCCGGGTACGATCATTTATGGCAATAGATTAAGTATATGTAAAGATTTAAGTACACTATACAAATATCTTTTCGCTTGTAAAGCTGCACTATTTACATGAGAAGTCCATAACAAGTATCTTAAAAAATAACACCTAAATATTTAGAAGACGATGCATTTTCTAGTTGATTCCCATTCAAAACCCATTTCTCATGTTTCGATAACTTGCGCCATTTTCCATGACAACAACTTTAGTTTTTCCTTAGTTTACAGATAACTGATGACTTTCACAAAAGCCTTCTAAAACATTAATACGTTTTTGTAGACCATATACATGTACATGTATAGTATCAGCAAATAACACTATGTGTTCAGCAAATAACAAATAATAATTGTACAACATCAGGGTGTAATTGTATTCCAGAGTAACAGCTTGACGCAACTTCTAAAGCTCATTCATTGATAAAGAAGGAAACGAGCAAGGGCTTAAAACGCACCCTTGACGCAAGCCATGTGGGCAATGAAATAATTGAGATAAAGATAAAGAGCTATCACGAACCCGTCCCTTGACACAGTTATATAAAGAAGTTAATGCGTTAAACATTTTGGAGAAATGCCTCTTCGTTTAAAAACATACTATAATTTGGATCTATTCACAAGATCAAAAGCTTTTTTAAAATCAACAAAAAGTGCATGGATGTTCCCTTTTTTCTTGATAAATATCGTTGAATAACTGATTGCAGAATAAAAATATTATCAGTTGTGCTGTATCCCTTTCTAAATCCTGCTTGTGATTCAACAATCTTATCCTACGAATCTTCCCAAAACGATAGCCAATTATTAAGTTCAGATGTATAAAGTTTGCTAAATGGACAGAGGAGTGATATTCCCCTGTAATTGTTGGGGTCATTTCGGTCACCCTTTTCATACAATGCTATAATAATTGCTGTGCTCCAGCTATCTGGAAATACAGAAGAATCAAACAAGGTAATAAGGTATAAGGTAATATGATATCCATTGAGTGTTTAAAAGGAATTATCCTCACCAGGAGATATAGAACATTTTAATTTTTTGATAGAACACTTTAATTTATTGATAGCTTCAGAAATTTCCTCTTTAGTGATTGGTGAGTCTAAAATATTATAAGCCATTTCATCAATAACAAACTCAAAATCATCACCAGACAGTTCGACAGAAAGATCATCAGTAGTGTCACAATTTTGGAACAAATTGCTAAAATGGGAAAACCTCTCCTGTGAGTGTATATATTTTCCATGTGTTTCAACGACTGTATACTTCTTAAACGTATTCCAGAAATATTTCGCATTACTTTTATTCTTCATTACTTCACCCATGATGAATATGTTATAAAGTCTTTTCTTTTCGCGTAACAGGCTATTACACATATTTCTACAATCAACATATAAATTAAGTGACGCACTGTCCTTTTTTCTAAATATTTTTAACAATCGCTGGATCTCTAGCTTGGGACATCAACATTCATCGTTAAACCAAGGCTGATTAGTTTTAGCACTTTAGCGTTTTACGCCGCACTCAGCAATATTCCAGCTATATGGCGGCGGTCTGTAAATATTCGAGTCATGGACCAGTCAATCCAATGATAAACAGCATGAGCATCGATCTGCGCAATTGGGAACCGATGACATGTGTCAACCAAGCCAGCGAGCCTGACCACCCAATCCCGTTCGTCGCCTCTTACGACAAGCATGGGTTACTGAAGGTACCTTCTAACCCGTGCCCTCACGGGTGGCAGGATATAGCAAGGCGATAAGGTAATATAGCCATATCAGTGAGTGAGTGAGTTAAACTTTCACATCGCACCGGCAATATTACAGCCATATAGCGATGAAAACAAGGTAATCAATTTAAAATATCTGTCGACAAAGGACAGTAAAACCAATTAGACTATCACAGATATGTATTTAAAACTAGTAATGGAATCTAAAATGCTTTAACTGTAGCGAACGATACAGTATAAAAGACAGGCTATAGATCGCCAACAACTGAAGGCAGATCACCATACTAGGAACCATGGGGACTTACAGTGCCTTGGCTACCTGCATGGACCCTAGTTGGATTTACACCATCCTTTCAGCCTCTGGCGATTGTAGGAAAAGTTTAGCCGAATTTTAAAAGAACAAAAATACTACGTTTAAAAATCTGGTAACTCATATTTAACTTTGAAAGTTTTGGGACTTACGTACCCTCTCAGGATGACAATCATTTTACAATACTTTAACCCCCTTTGAGGGTACAGCCACTAACAATCGCATTTGCTAATTATACTACCATTTATCTATTTACAAAATATATTATTCAAAAGTTATCGATTAATTCCATGTCCTTTAAAAATTCAATTAGTAAATGGTAATTAACATTACTAAAAAGATCCTTCAATGTTTTGACATTGAAATATTTATCCCTTGTGATGGAAAAGTCAATACAGTCAAGCAGGACATGCTTGACCGTGATGCTTTCATCACAGGCACCCGTGAAGAGCCACCTCCTCGTGGTGGATGCTGGGTAGTTCTAAGAGCTCTTCAATCCCCCGTGTATATAAGGGGGCATATTTGGTCCATCAACCTGTTTGCCGTGGGTTGCGCTTCTGTGTGGCTGGAGGACGGGATTCTGGTGGTTGAGGGCAATAGGAGTCTGGAACCGTGTTCCTTTTGCCCAACACACCACTGTGGCCCTGACTTCACCTAGACGGGTAGTAGAATTGGCTTGATTCTGTCAATCGGTTGGTCACACCATGCCCTGTGCATGTTAAATGTATTTGAATGTAATTGATTTGTCAGCAATGTTTTTTTTGGCTTCGCAAAATAGATGCACAAACTATTTGATTTAATGTATTGC